GCGCTTATAACTTTTGAACGACTTATCATAGGACTTTGAAATTTTCAAATGAAATCTAAATCAGAAGGTCTTTAACCCAGTATAAAAAATTTTAAGATACCTCTCACCGTTCGCGAGATATACGCCAAAAACTGTTTCAAATTATAAACACTTTTAAACATTTCAAAATAATAAATAGAATTTAATAACTTATACATATTTATACATAATAAAATTAAATTATAATATTATAATCTTTAATATTAATATTTGATATTATTATATAATATTATAATACTTATTCATACTCATGCATATGCATTTTGGATGCTCGCTTGTGTGTTTTTAACTTCCCGTGGGACAAGTTATAGTAATCGCAAAAAAAATTAAAAATGAAAATTTTTATATATCTTTACGTTTCAGAGGTTTCTGAACATTTTGGCATACCTTAGAAAAATGTGTGTGTGTGTGCGTGTGTGTGTGGGTGTGCGAATACAAATTTTTGTCGACGATTTCGGGAACGCCGATCAACCATTTAAATCATTTAAATAATTAAAAAAACATTCGATTTATATTGATAAGGAGACGTGCTGATTAGTTTTTGGCGAAGGCAGATCTAGCCGTTCCGAAGATACGGGGCAAAAAGTGCCAAAAACGGTAACTCAGTTTTTAAGAGAACGGAGCGCCCGATTTTAATAATTCAAAAAACATTTTACCTGTATTGACAAGGTGAAGAATCGATCAAATTTTCATGAAGGAAGGTCTAGCGGTTTTGAAGATCTAATGAAAAAAGTAAAAAAATGCCATTTGGCGGTAAAAAATGATCATTAGACATATGCACATTAAATTATCAGATATTTCATAGAGATTATAACAATAAGTATAAATTTTGTTTGCCTTCCTATGGGTTCCGTACCAATGTTTATTCGTTAGACGGCGACGCGGCACTTACGAGCTTTGATATTTTTTCTCAGAATTTTCAAAATATGTCAAAATAAAGAAAAAAGTAATTTCAGAAAAAGTAATTTTTTGTCAAATTCCTAGTTTCTCAAAAATGTAATTTTTTCGAAGTAAAATTTTTTAAAAATGTTTATTAATTTCAATTGTTTTTAAATTTCAGATAACAAAATTTCTAGTCGAGATGTCCCGGAAGACTTGGTACTTGTTGGTTGCAGGGTGAGTGTTTTAAAATTTTAGGCATGCCTTTTGATATCATAATACTTTAAATTTTTTTTCACTTAGTAATAAATATCGTGAAGCTTTGATAAAAAATATACTAAAATGAGAATATATACGTTTTTGTGATTATGGATGACACTAGACGGATAAAAATGGATGATAAACTTCAATGAAATAGTGCAATTATTGATTGCATTAGAAATCTGAAATCGAACATTATCTTTTGTGCAACAGAGCAAGGCTACATATTTTCTATAAACAAAATAAACATATATATATATATATATATATATATATATATCTTTTTATCTGCCATTTATATATAAAACACTACATTTCATAATACACTAGTATAGACGCTCTTTTTAGATGCCAATCAACTTGTATAATAGATACCATTGATGCATTATTAATACCACATGTTGTTTTGAAAACTCATCTATCATAAGCTTTTCTAGCTTAACATTTTTCATAAAATTTCAGTGTGATTTATACGTTAAATATTACCCAAACATACCATATGATCATAAACTATGTGGGATATCGTATTTGGAAAGATAATAGTTATTGAGAAACAGATTATAGTTACTGAAATCTGAATTCAGAAATATCATAAACAACACATTCTTTCAAACATTGGCATGGAATTTTTGTTTGTTTGTTTTTTTTATACGAAACTAAATTTCGAAATTCAACTGTCTCTGTGACATAGATTAGAAGCAATAGATTTTGATCAACAGAAATAGGCTCAGGTCGATCATTAATATATTGAGACTTGAAAATCAAATTTGCTGCGTTATTAGCATATAGTTCTCGTTCTCACGCGCTAATAAATTTCCAATCATCTTTAATTAATCCGCAAATCTATAACCTCTCATTCTCTTTACCGAAATTAATGGCATTTTTACGTTATTAATCGTTGGCTACCTCCACCTAATCATGATTCAATCAACGTACTCTCCCGTGCTGTATTAAAGTCATCGTGATTTACACGAGACATATCTCATTAAGGATTCATTACCGGGCGCTCGTTGAAGTATTTTAATTAAATATTTCTAACGTCTCGCTGACTCCCGAGACCGAAGCCATAAAATGTGTTCGATTTTGCAATTCGGTGCGAAAGATACCGCCAAAACTACTATTAATGAATACCAATCGGAAGCCATTGCCGAAAATAATAAAAAGGAGAAATTATAGACATATAACTGAATCAATTATTTATTATAATGTATTGAACGTTGTGATAAATTACAATCCAGTCAACAAATCGAGTAAGATTGTTTTTGTATTGGCATATACAGTAGACCCTCGCTTTACACGGCACTCTGGGTACACGGTTTCCATACTACACGGAGCTAAAAATCCGACATCCCTCCGATTACACGGACTTTTTGTTACACGGTATTTGATGTGCAACCTAAGATTGATTCTAGTAACTTGATATCAAAAGGGTATTAATGTAAGTTTTGTTATCGACTTTTATCTTTTTGGCATGTCTGATTATATAATAGCTGCCTAGGAACACCTTTGAGTTGACTACTGCGTTGCGTCAATTTTTGAATAAGGTGTCATACATGTCATTTCGTCCATATTACTCCTACTTCAAGTTATATTTCTTGGTCTCCATACAGCACGATAAAAATGGTGCGATTTGTACCGACTCTCATAGCACAGTTTCCATACTGCACTATGTAAGGTTCCATAGAACGCACTACTAATTAGCCTGTATGTTAAATACGAGTTTTTTATAGCATGGTCCCCATACTGCACGGTACGCACTTGCCGCGTAAATCGAGGGTTTACTGTAATGTCTGGCATGGCATTCATAAATTTTGGTGACAAATTCGGAAGTCATTTTAGGTTTATCAATTGACTATTCAGTGGTAGTAATTTTAGGTTTATAAATTGATGAAATAAAGATACAGAAAAATAATTGTAATTATATATTAAATGTTAATTTTCTGAATCTGAAGAATTAGTTCTTTTGATTCTTCTGAGTGAATTTGATGATAGTAGTTCTTTGGCAAGTTGGCTCGGATGATATTCAAGTCTAGTTTGTACTTAGATGTATATCTTCTGATACCGTGAACATATTAGAGTCCTGGAGGATCAGCCAATTTCCGACTAATTGGGTGCCTCTAGTTTTTTTTTTTTTAAACTTTTGCAAAATATTTATGTTGGTCGCGCTTGCGCTACCCCAAATAAAAAGCCCGTACATTTATGATGGTTCTAAGACTCATATACCAATATCTTATTGTCAATAGTTTGGTTTTACTTCAGCTGTAGTCGTTTTGTTATTAAAAGATTTTTACAGATGAGTCGAATGTCCAAGCCGAGGTATTTCCTCTATTAAATCTGAGGTATTTGAGCCCATTGATTGTGATATGCTGACATGTTTTTTTCCTCAAGGCAAAAGTAATGTGTGATGATTTACAGCTGTTTAATTACAATCTCCAAAATATGTGCCACATTTCAATTGAATTTAAATGTCGTGGTAGTGCATAAGAAACGACTGCAGGACATTCGTGATTAAATAAAATGCTTATATAATCTGCAAATGTAGCGATGTTTGTCTCGACATTTAAAGGCATATCTGAAGTGAACAATAAAAATAATATTAGGCCCAGGACGCTTCCCTGTGGATCGTCTTATAAGGATGAATTTACTTTCTGGACAACTCTGTGAGTTTGCTTCAATGTTGAGTGAAGTTTTCTAAAACCAAATCGGTATAGTGGAATTGCGTTTTTATTTCTAAAAGCTTCATGTTTTTCTAGAGTAATAATTTTTCAAAGACTTTAGTTAGTCTGTAGGATTGAATCAGGGTGAAAACTTTACCAGGTTTTGGTATCAGAATTACTTCGGCGATTTTAAATAGAGAGAGATAACCAACAAATTAAATAAATAAATAGATAAACACTAACTTTATAGATAATTACATAACTTGATCCTATGGATGAAACAGCTATACCTACACTAAATAATGCACATCAAAATGACGTTTTTTCTTATATGTAGTTCTTTCTGTGATTAATTTTTAGACTCATACAGAAATTATAAAATTTGAATTTATACAAAAAGTTGTTTTCATGTTATTACAATCTACATATTTTTATTTTATTCTTATTTCTTTGATGTTACCAATGTAAAAGGCTCAAGTATTCAGTATCGTAATTTAAAATCTATATATCAAAAGTAATAGTGATAATTTTATACAAAATCTTAATTGTTGTATTAATTGCAAATAAGAGAATATTTCAATTATGAAGAGAGAAACGGGATTAAAATGAGATCATGAAAGATATATATCAATTAGAATTAAAACACTTTAAACACAAGTATATATAGATATAAAATGTTTGGTTTATACTTCAAAATATTTTAAAATAGAATTAATTTATATTAAATATTAAAGTTTTAAATACATTTTTTACTTTCGAATAAAATTTAATCGTACCCAAGTTTTTGTTATTACTATATTCTTTGAAATTAATCTAAAGTAAATAAATTTGACTAAAGTAAATATTTGAAATCATTTTCATATATATATATATATATATATATATATATATATATTTTGAATATGTATTAAAATATTAATTTTAAAGAAAATAATTTTGTGTTGAATCTGGATGTTTTGCATCATCCACGTTTACTTATGAAATCAAATTAAGAATGAGTCTCGTGAAATTTATTACATTGACATTTGTCAGTATTATTTTGTTATTAAAAGTGACATATAAATCATTGATATTTAAAATATTTGTGATAAATATAGAAATAATACAAGATTTGTTACAAAAAAATTAACTCTGCTACAATTCTTGAATATTCAAACTTAAATCATGGATGATCAAACCACGTCAAGTAAGTTGCCAAAAGCAGCATATATTCTAAATGTGATATTATTGGTATCAAGTATAGATGAGCATATGACATCATCTCTGGCACTATTATTTTATCGTAACAAATTGAATTTTTCAAACGAAGAAGCGTTGGCTTTGGCTCATGCAGTTAGCATGGCTAGTCTCTTCATTTCCCCATTCGGAGCACTACTGACTGAGAGTTATGGAAATAAATACTTGATCATGATCGTCCAATATAGCGCCCTTATACTTATGCAAATTTCTTTAATACTTGCAGCGATTCCTGCATTCCGATCATTTGCACATTTTATTATTTATAGTAAGAGTATATTTAGTATTGGTGTGGCTATTGTTGTAAACTCAGTACCATTTGCCTTCGACGGAAACCAGTTTAACATGCCAGCTGAATTACCTGCACTAATGAAATTTTATCGAATACAATATCTTATTCATAATTGCGGAGTATTTGTAGGACACTACTTGGGACCCTTAGCCAAAACTTCGGTCGCTTGTTTGGGTGAACAAGATTGTTATTTATTGCCATATGGCATGAGTTTAATTTTTGGAATAGCATCTTTGATCATATTTTTGGCTGGAACTCGTTTATATAAGAACACGAAACCGGAACGTAACATGGCACTCGACATCACAAAATGCGTTTGGTATGGTGCGACTCATTGGTGCCAAGAAAGAAAAAGCAATCCACAGAAACACTGGTTAGATCATGCTGAACCAAAATTTGGAACTCAACTTGTAATTGATATTAAAACAGCAATAAACATGCTCACTATTTTCACCGTTATACCATTATACAGTGCTGTATATAGTCAATTGGATAGAGAGTGGTTACTTCAAGCAGCAAGATTAGATGGGCGTATGGGATTTTTTACATTCATTCCAGAACATTTTAATTTGGTGAACCCAGTTTTAGCATTAATTCTAATGCCAATATTCACAAATTTCTTAGATCCCTTCATAAAGCGCTGGAAAATGGATCGCATGTTTCGAAGAATGATTTTTGGAGGAGTAATGGCCGCAATTTCATTTGTATTATCAGGATGTGTAGAATCAAAAATTAAGCTTGAAAATCCTATACTTCCAGAGCAAAATGAAGTGCAAATAAGAATATTTAATGGTTTTAATTGCTCGTGCTTCATTCATATGCCCGTTATTTCTGATAGATCTTTTGAAGTACCTGCATATGGAGCTTACACTAATAAACACGTTATTATTAATGTTTCTCAAACAATACAAGTATCTGCAGAAGGTCTGTGCTTTGAACCAATAAGTGAAATTATGAATGCAGATGCTGGTACTGCCTTGTCAATATTTATAACATATCAAAATGGCGAAATATATATAACTTCTTACATTGAAACTGTAGCGAAAACTGAACAGGGTTTACCTATTTTGACCGTGATTGGAGCAAACTATAATGATTCTGTGATGGTTTATGACTCTAAAGGTGTAGAAGTACCAATAAATGTTATAACAAGTGAACTAGCTGGTCATATAATACGAACTAGCGATAACAGATATGTGCAAGTAGTTGCTGAGAATTATAAGTTAATCGTAAATGGTCAGAAGAAACAGGAGTTCGATTTACATCAAGGTGGCATATATCTTGCCGCAATTTGTGATACTGTCGTGGTTATGTTTACAATTACTGAACCGAATTCCGTACATGTTGCTTGGATGCTACCACAAAGCATATTTCTAATATTTGGTGAAGTTTATTACGGGATTACATTAAACGAATTCATTTACAGCGAGGCACCAGATTCACTAAAAGTTTTAATTGCCGCTTTATCCAAATTTTTAGATGGTGTGGGTGAAGCTTTTGTGGTTTTGGTGCTAAAATTAGTACATATTGATGAAGATTATATATTTTATATGTATGCGCTTTTACTTCTATTGAATATGTGTTGGCTAGCGTTTATTGGAAGGAGATTTAAATCCTTGCAAACTAATGAAGAACTAATGTGAAGAACTAGCTGAAATTGAAACAATACTGTATGTATATATCGATAAGATTATGATATTTACTCAAACTGGTAGGAAAATAGATTTTCAAATACTTGTATATAATAATACTTTAAATTTTAGTTGTCTACAAATTTAATCTGCCCTATCAACCAAATGAAGGTTTAGCATTCAATAGATAGTTTTTAGTTATTTTTAAATAACTAAATATTAATCCAAAAAAATAGATTTTTATTGTAATGAATAAAAATTAATTTTTGGATTTAAAATTACTAAATTATCTGAACAAGTGTTTCTTTCTTCCAAAATTTAAATAAATATAGGAAATAAATGATGGCATATACTTTGAAATTTATTACATATTACGGAATAACTTCACCGAAAAAATACTCATAATTATAATTATATCCTTTTAGATTCAAAAACCTAGCTTACTCTTCATATCGCTGATGTGGTATAATTTAAGAAATTTAAATTATTTCTGTCTTAATATCAAAGCGCTTATCTATCGAAAATGTCTATTCGTAAATCTACAAAGAATCTGGGAGAAAAAATATCATTGGATTTCAGCGAAGCGGATTGAAGACGAGCGCAAATAAGGGCGCCGCTTTAATATACCGAATCGGCAGAAAAATCGATCTCTAAGGTAAAAAACTAAGACATTCATATTCACGGAAAATGATACATATACATAAGAAAAACGATTTTTAACCAATAAAAAATTACAGTAAATTATTATTTTGGGTTTGCCTACTATATTTGCACAGAATAACACCATAAATATAAAAGCATTATCAATAGATTTACATACATATGAACATTTATTCAATTTAATTATGATTTATATTATATAATGTTACAATTATGATACATATTACATTAGTTTGTGAATATCGTCTACAGAATATACATTGTACAAAATTTAAACACATCATAATGCACAATATCATTAGGTGTTAAATGTATGGTAATAATTTTAAATTCTTAAAAAGTTGCTATAAAATGCAAAACTACATAATTTCAAATGCAATTACAAAATTTTAAGGTTCTTGGCAACTGACCAATTGTATGGAATAAATTAATTAATCAATGAGCCATGTAATAAAAGAAAAGGGGCTACCAAAATATCGGTTAATTTGCGTTCTTATAGCTTTTATGGAATTGGAACAGAAACAATTTGCCTTTTTGTTACTAATATTAATTAATTAATTATGTTGATAGTTATTAATGCAATCAATTTTATTTTGGAACTGAAACTCCAACAAATTTGTATAAAATTATAGGTTTATAGTCAGATCATATTCACTAAAAATGATTCTTATAGATCCAAATACCAAATATCAACCAATAATGGCAAAAAACAGTAAATTATTATTTTGGCTTTGCCTACGACACTTGTAAAAACATTGAATATATATGCATGAAAGCATCATATTAACCCTTACGCGACGACACCGATTTCAAAACAATCTACTGTACCGGCTGTAAACTTGATTTCATAGGGTATGTTATGCAATTTGTTTGATAAAAATCTGTGGTCATTGAAGGACATACATTTATAATATTAATTTATTTTTGATCATTTTATAAAGAATGATGACGTTCAAAACAATTTCCAAAATGCATAGCTGGTTTATTTTGTCATGTTTTACAATAAAATGTTGTTCGCCGCCTGCCTCCTGGCGCTTTTCTGTCAGAACAGAATACAATCCCTTTTTCTTTTTCTCGCATCTAGAATGTGCCATTGATTAGTCAGTATATTTGTTCATTTCTTGTTACTACAATGGTTTGTTTTTCCTATTATATTGTCTAATAATTCATTCGTAAAATATAAAGTAAAATTATCTATTGGATGTCTTATATTGCTTGGTATTTGTAGTCGGGGTGTTTGTTGATGTTTGTCAAACTCGATTATTGAAGGAGAATCGGCACATTCGCTAATGTCTTTCCACTCTTCATTTAATTTGTCGAACTTGTCCTTTTTGTTGGTTGAATAATATCATCATCACATTTATCACTATCTTCGGTGCGAATAGTAATTTCATGAAATTTGTCTGTATGAATTTGAAATCCATTTTCACTACTGCTTAATACACCAATTTATCAGTCATTTTGTTATATTTAGAAGCGCTTGGAGATTTTAAATATTAGGAAAAGACTATATAGCAAAGAAAAAAGCTAAAATTACTACTAAAAAAACTTAAAATTATTTTCAAAATACAACACTGTCTATCACTGCTATATGTAATTTATTCAACGTTTCGATGCAAACTGAGTCATTGTTTATAGCCTGTGTCTCACAGAGTATGTTTGTCCACGCAGGTGGACAGCCGTCCCCAAAGAGTTAATAGGTATATAATACAAATATTTATTAATGTATATAATGTACATAATATGTAGGAATTACTGAAGTGTCAAACAACAAATGAGACAAAAGTCAAATAGTATTATATCCGGAAACAAAGTAATGAAATATCACAAAATGGCACCAAAAAGTCGCACGACGCCTAAATCGATAAACACATTTCATCAAGAAATATTTTACATATATAGCAAATACAGTCAAAACAACAACAGTGTTCTAAAACCTTCTCTATTATCTATAAGATCGTCTTCAATATATATCAGCCGTCGGTGATATATTTCGCAACCATTTCGCTGTGAATTGTTGCTAATTTTATTTCCAGAATCCTTTCTCGTACCCTAGACGACCTGAGTAATGGATCAATGCACCTGCCTATCTATATAATGATGAGATGTATTAAATTATAAGACGCCGTTATACGTCAAAGAAAATCCATTGGTAAAAAAGCGAAGAAATGAATCGGATCCGCTGGGAGAGAGCGCAGTCTAATGTCTCGTGTAATGAGATCGAAAAATCGTTCCTTTGATATCGACGATATAAAAACTCTATGGATCGGTTATAGGTCGGAAAAGTGCTCGAATGAAATATAGATGGATATAAATTATACATATACATTTTGTAATATATCAATGTAACTCATCCATGTATAAACCTCAATGCTCAATCGATATCATACAGAGACAACATTATTTTGAACCTAATATATTCTAATTAATTTTATCGATGAAAATTATGAATGTTTTTTATTGGCATAAATACGTAGAATACCGTATAAAACCACCAAACCGCTAAAACCACAAAATAAGTTTTTTGATCACACTGCCTCTTCATTATATATTTACATTAAGAGGACGATCACACTTCGTTTAACATATAGAAATGGTATTTTGTCAAAAATATTCTTCAGCAGAGTTGGGATAACTATTGCAGAACTGTTTTTTTAACATGAATTATTTTTTTCTTTGCTATTATTTTTAATGTTCACTTCTTTGCTAGAGTAATGGTTCAGTTGAGTTTTTCTTGATTGATCTCAACCACATGTAAGCTTTTAGGGAGGATATATGAAAAATATGACTATATATTTAACGTAACAATATATCTTATCAACCAATTGCATAATGTATTCTCAAAAATTTAGGTATCATAAACTAAATAATAATAGTTCAAAACCAAAAACCTACCAACAAAACCTATTTTCGAGGTAACTGTAATGGACCTTTTTACCTGAAAATTTTTAAACTCTATGCTCTACCCTATAGTTTACAACCGCATCTACTTTATATGAATATTTATGTTTGCATTTTAAAAATGGCTTCATATGATTTTTTATAATTTTCATTCATAAACTAAAATGAAATCGTCCTAAAAATATTTCGTGTTTCAAAAGCAAAAACCCATTATTTAATCTATCATGTAAAATCGTTTGACCGGACCGTTTTAAAGGACAGAAGATAATTCAATGCTATTGTTCGGGACGTATTGCAACGTTCATGTATTTTGCGATGCAACATTTCACCTGCGAACCAAATTTCTGCTGTTAAAGCAAATTACTTGAAAATTTAGGTGCATAAATCTATTCCAATTGATCGATTGAAATAATGGAACAAAAGGACACTCGAGCACGATTTATTATATCTTTGAAAGTAAAAAAAAAAAAACAATGAAAATCTCTCATTAGAGATAAACCCATCAAAGTCATAAGGACTAATACATAGTTTAAAAAGTATTATTAAATAGTATAACCAATTGCTAGTTTATTAACTTAAATAAATAATTTAAAACAAAGATTAACCAATCAGTAAAGAGTTTTGGAGGCATAATCGAAGAAGTACAACAACAAATTTAATACTGTAACATAAAAGTTCTTAAAAATGGTCCAATAGAACCTTTAGGAACTTTAGTAAAATGTTGTAGATTTCCAAATATTAGAGATGCATTGGATTTTCCTGTAATTCAGCTAATTTTAAAATATTTGAATCTATTTTGATTTTACAATTATTTTCAATATAATTCAATTTTTGACATAGACAAAGCACAAAAAAATAAAAAAAACAATTTGATTTTGAGCAAGTATATTGCAAAAACCAAGCCAATTATATCGCAACAAACAACTATCTGAATATGTCCCAGCTAATTTAAAAAAAAATTACCCCATAGGCCAAGGTCCAATGTTTATTTTTAAATTTAAAGAATTTTTAGGAACTAATAGATACATTATGCTATAATTTATATCAACTAAAATATAAATTTCACGGGTACATTTCTTTCAGAGACAATAGTGTATATAACCTTGAAATGGTATTTCATCTAATGTAAAATTGCTTTTTTCAACTTAATTTACTTTTCCATTCACTGTTTTCTTATTGTTTACACATTTCCTAGGGTAAAGGTTCAGTCAGTTCATCTTTTCCCAACCACGTGTTACTTTTTACAAGGATTATATAAAAAATCTCTTGAAAATAACTTAAATTTAATAATATCTCTTATAAATCAATTAAATATCTTAGAACTTAGAAATTATATTTAGGTCTTGTAAACTAAGCATCAGTGCTCACAATCTAAAAAACTAACAACGAAAAAAACTTTTGTTGTGGATTTTCAAACAATGTCGTTTATATCATAATTGCAACGGCGTAAG